GGGGAGGGAGTCTTTGTGAGGGGGGGAACAGGCGTAGGGATGAGGGGAGGGGCGGGGGGAAGGATTGGGGCGGGCGTGGCACGTGTGGCCTGCTCGCAGTTCAGGAGGACCGGAAGGAGGAACATCGAGCAGTTGATCACCTTTGCGCAGCAGATCGGGACCGTGTTGCCGAACTGGTTCAGGCCGGTGAAGTTGCACAGCTGCGCGGGCTGGGGCGGCTCATTCTTGAACAAGACGATGTCGGTGCACTCGTACGGGGCTGGGGGGGGCGACCGGTGGGGGGTCAGAAAGGTGGACCCGCGAGAGGTTGATGAGTATTTGAACTTCGTGCTAAACATGTACACTATCTCATCTCGCCCTCGCGGCTAGTGTACCGAGAGACATCCGTGGAAAGCGAGCAGAGAGCGACGAGGGCGCGGCAACTGCGCTCTGCTAGAAAGTAAGCACGGTGCCAGAAAGTCCACACTCGTAGTCGCAAAATGATGGCGTGCTGACCTAGAGACCTGGTCTCAAACCGCTTACCGGTCGTGCCTAAGAGCGAGAAATATGAGAGCGACATGGTCAGCAATGTCTCAAGCATTTCCACATGGTCGAGCAGCATCTTGAGTCAGCCAAATTAATGAAACTCTGAAAAAGCTGCCCAGTCTCGTTGACGAGAGGCCGCTGACGGCTCACCTTCGGGGGTTGGCGCAGGCACGGCGGTGAGGGGAGGAGTGGGTGACGGGGTCAGGGTGGGGGCAGGAGTGACCGGAGCGACAGTTGGGGTGACCGGGGGGGGTTTGGAGGGGGTGGGAGTAGGGGTTGGAGCGGGAGTGGGAGCTTTGGAAGGGGTTGGGGTGGGAGTCGCCGGGGGAGTCGTGATCGGAGGAGCAGTCACCGAAGGAGCGGTCACGGGGGGAGCAGTGACCGGAGGGGTAGTGGACGTGGGGGGTAGTCGACGTGGGGGGTCGTGGAGTTGGGGGAGTAGGTCGACCGGGAGGGGTGGTCGACCGGGGGAGTAGGTCGACGGGAGGCGTGGTGGACCGGGGGGTC